AGAGAGAGAGAGAAATGAGACCTGTGAACCAAGTATAACAGCATCTCTATCCAAGAAGAGAGTGAGATGACTGGTCAGGTTGAAGCTTCCAGTTAGCCATTTCCCTGCAGGTACATAGAGCTGGGCTCCCCCCTTGTCGGCAAAAGACCTTAGGTAGAATATGGCATTTTGGAAGGCAAGAGTGTTCAATGTGAGGCCATCACCAACAGCTCCAAACTCTAAAATCGAGACACTGTGAGGCCTTGGCCGTAACACCCTGTTATCTTGACAACCCCCTCTCTCTTCTTGTATTAAGTTTGTTTTTTCGTCTCTCTCTCTCCTGGCCCCACCATCCCCATCTCCAATGGCATTTGCAGCAATGCTCAGAAGAACCAAAATTATCAACAGTTCCTGGTAATAGAAACAGGCAAACGAACATGTGTTACGAAAAGGAAATTCACAAACAAAAATTAACCAAATACTACTTTTATTATTAATTGATTCTTCAAATTCTGATTACCAAATTCATCATTTATATAAATACAAATTTGGAAGTCGGCCGACATAGAATAAGGTGGTTATTGCTATAACTTGACGTCGTTTATAGTAAGAGAACTTTTTTAACAGGGTCAATATGAAGAGTGTGAATGATAGAATATTGGTTCATTCATGGTAGGAAGACTATTTGGTGCTTTGATTTGGCACAAGAGAAGGAAAAAGGAAAACTAGGTGATTTTGTTTTTGGAAGAAAGGCCATTGATTTGGCACAAGAGAAAAGGAAAAAGGAAAACCAGGTGATTTTGTTTTTCGAAGAAAGGCCAATCTGTTAGGTGCAGTAAAAAAACGGGGAACCCGCGCCCAAGAGTTGCAGAGAGAGGACTGAAATTGGTTTAAATTGGAGCATTGGCAAGAGATAGTTGACAATGAAATTTACAGAGCCAAGGTGGGTACAGAGGGAAGAGAGATGTTTCGCATCTTTGACAAAAATTGTAGAAGAATAGCTGTGAATATGTACAGAACGAATAACTCAGAAAGAGTATAAAATCCAAACAGAAAACTACAGAAATCTGAAGACTGAAAATTTGAAAAGGCTCTTAAAGAAACCAAGGCATTGGAATTTAAGCATTTTGGAGAAGGAAAAAAAAGAGAAAAATAGCTGAGAGACAGAGGAAATTATTAGAAATGGATCTCATAGCCAAAACTCAAAAATTCTCACTACTAGGTACATTAACATACTGTTAAAAAGAATTTAAACAACTGGACTATATATGATTCACTCATCCTAATGCATTTGACATGTAAGATTACTGAAAAGGAAAAAAACATTAAAAATTACAAGAAAAATGCAAAAACCCATATTTACAAATTTTCGAAATGTGAAAAAAAAATTGTTCGGTTCTAGGAAGAAAAAAAGAAATATCACACCAGAGATCCCATAATTAAAGATAAAAAAAGAAAACCAACATCACTAAACAAGCAAGCTCCACAGCTGCTAAGAAAGGAAATAGTCAATTAAAAACTGAAAATATCCCTGAATCAGTCCCAAAATAAAGAATTTTGCCGATTTCTGATATGTTAGCTCCACGTAGCCCATCAAACAATAGGAAAAACATTGAAAAGTAATCCATTTAAACAAAAAAAAAAAAATCAGAAAAACCATAATTCACGATTCCACAAAAATATGAGAAAAATGAACTTAATAAAACCGAAAATAAAAGAACGTACTTACTAGCCTCTTCATGAGCAAAACCACAAAGCCAAAGATGAAAGCTTTAGAGCCGACCCCTCAAGCCGAGCCGAAGGGAAAAAAACGAGACGGTCACTCTCACCAAGAGATCGCTGAAATGAAAACCAGAACAAACGGATAAAAGAAGGAAGAAAAAACCTGCCTTGAAAAAACCGAAAGCACAAAAATGGAAAGTGCAGAGAGAGAAGCTTACGCTCTGAATTCGCATTTATCGCAGGAGCCCCAACAGTAATTGCGCCTCGGCTCCAAGCCGAAATGGGTTCATTACGAAGAAGAGAGAGAAAGAGGAGGAGGAAGAAGAAGAAGAGTGAAGAGTGAGAAGAGTTTCTGTTTGTTGTGGAGAGAGGAAGAGGAGGAAGGAGAGGTTTTTATTTTTTAGATTTATTTGTTTTTTAAGGAGTGTGAATTTTAATTTCCGAGTGTTTTTTTTGGAATTTAAAAAAAGAGGAGTTGGGAGAGTTGCTTGGGGTTTCGAGCGCATGTGGATGCCAGGACAAGGGCGGGCCCACCTTCAATCATGCCTCCCCTTGCTAGCCTGGACTCACTCGTCTCTTATTTGGACACTGCACTTTCATGCCTTAAATGCCCCTCTCTCTCTTCCCCTTTCTTCTCCCTCTCCTTCCTCTTGTCAAGGCCTGGCACCCTCGGTCGGGCTAGCCCTAGAGGGGGCAAATTTGGTCTCTTTTTTTATTTATTTTTTATTTTTATTTTTATTTTTATTTTTTTTTCGTCCGGCCAAGGCTAACCAGGGTTTAACAACGGCCCAGGCTGGCCCAGCCCGTTGCCTCTTTTATTATTGTACGGTAAAAAACTCATGTACGCTTAGAACCCCTCTCTTATTGCCAATATTTCATTTCTATTCCTCCTGCCCATTCTCTTACATTTTTTTTTTTTTTTTTTTAGTACTAAGGACACTGAATATTATTGAATCAGCATAACTATTACAATAATAAGTAAAAATAAATGAAAGGATACAACCAACGAGTCTAGATAAGCTCCTTTCTTAACCTAGTCGTCCCACGTCTCTGTATACATGATTGAAGCTAAAATTGTTGCTCGAAGAGCGATCTATATAATTTTCAGCTATAGGAAAGTAGATGCCAAGGAGGTCTAGACACACACAGATGCATCAATTGATAACATTGATAGAGTCCCCTTCTAAGATCAACGCTTTCCCAAACCTTTCTCCTTCCAAATCATCACATCTTGCAACAATGCCGTCATTTCCGCTTGATTGGTTGTAACCTCTCCACAAGGCGCAACATGGCAAAAAAATAACCTTCACTATCTCTAAGTATGCCACCCACCCCTGCTCTCCCTGGATTGCCAGGTGAGGAGCCATCAAAATTAAGTTTTAAGCATCCTAAAATTGACGAAACCCAAATACATTGTAGTCTTACCTTAATGAATCTAAGAGATACCAAATGATCAGTATTGTACTTAACATCACTCTTAGAGACTCCCCAACCCTCCTTCGTCACTCTAAACCAGCTCCAAGTTCGAAACATGATTTTGTTTTTTAATTCTGCCAATTCCACAGACTCTCCATTAAAAGTCCTTCGTTTTCTTTCTAGCCACATCTCCCATAAAATAGCTCCTCCAAAGATATCCCATAACATTCCACCAATCTTCGGAATCCCGCATATCTTCATCTCATTCACCAAATCAAATGAACTAACCTTTTTGCCTTGTAAATAAATTCAGGACCCTCTTCTCTCATGGATATAACCTTTCATGTCTTCGATAAAAGTGGGCATTATTAGCAAAGATGTAGCATGATTGAGAAAAGAAACAAAACTTTCAATGCTTGAGAATTTCACCCCTGCATACATCGGAAAGGCCTCAATTTTTAAGATTGCTGCTTACTGTGTAAAGTTGAAAATTCTGTGTATAATTCACAAAAAAATCGTTTTGCTTCTTGTTGTCCAATGTGTCTAGAGCCCTTAATTGGGTTTTGGATTGCCCACTAATTGTACCAATCCAGATCGGCTCGCTAAAAATTTCGTAAAAAAAGATTAATAAAAGAATGGTATTCGGCAAAGTCCGCAACACTAGATCAACCACCCACCGTACCGACCAAAATTGACAATTCCGTATCCCCAAGTGGGAGAATGCACGTCATAAGATTGATAATTCTGTATCCAGATCGAAAACACCAACATGGTGAGCATAGGGTACCTCGATGGACAAGCTGTGTCGTGTACCATGGACAAGATGTACCTTACAGGAATGCACATATCAAAGTAACCTATCTCTTACATGCATATACATTTGAAACTTGAAAACAACCTATCTCCACTCTCCACTCTCTAGTCTCAGTCACAGGACACAGACGTGCTTGGTATTTGATCAAATCTTGCAGCGCAACCCATCAAGGAAAAAGTTTATATGAGGTCTCAATAGGGATAATGTGCTGCTAAAAAACCAATTAGTGAAGGCTGTCCTTTTGCTGGAAAACACTCAAATTGATCATCTCGATTTCAAGATTCATAGACATGAAAAAAAAAAAGGGATCTCTAACCCTAAAAATAGTTCATATTCTAATATATTATCCCGACCATCCATTTTCAAGATTGTCAAGTGTTTATAGATCTATTTGATCGTTACCATTTTTGAAAATTTAAATTTCATAATTGAGGATAACAATACATTTTCATATCATCACAAACTTTGCAGCCCGAAATTGTATTTTTTGGCATAGTTTTGAGACGCACCATGCCCGCATATCAAACCAGCTTGAAATTTTGGATGCCTAATTGAAGGATATTTAAGTAATTTATGGACTTCCAAGGGCATGCATGGTCAGTCATTTTATTTTGCTTCCACCCAAAACGAAAACGCTGTTTACGGGCTTGATTTATGGTTGCGGGATGTGACTTTGTACGAGGTGCCCTCGTAGTCTCTTTTGTATAAGTAAGGCACACCTCTAAAATTCGTCTGGAGACGTAGTTTCGGGAACTTTTAAATGAGTAAAAAATTGATTTTATCTCTAAATATAAAATTTAAAATTTTAAAAATAGTACAAATTGAATAGATCTATAAATATTAAAAAATATTTAAACTTGTCCAAATTGTTTGTTACAAGATGTATTATTTTTAAGATTTGATTATATATATATATATATATATCTTTTGTGTTTTCCAACCATTTTTGAAGTACACCTTACATAAACTTTTTCCCCTTTATTTATTGGTCTTTTATTTATTTATTCGTAATTTCATTATTCGGTTACCCAAAAAATGGGGTTAAAAAAAAGGTAACTGAGGTGGCAGCCGGCTTATTTGGTGACATTTTACAGGGTGTTCACGTTTATCCGAGCCCACATACATTAATAATCAACCTTGGATCTAAGACCTAATTATGTACACTGCATAAATTACAATTTTGCCCCTCATCTTCTCTGACTTTTCTCTGCAGGTTTTTATTTCCTTCAGTTATTTTGTATTATTATTATTATTATTACGATTATTATTATCGATGAGCAATGGGTGCATGAGTAAAATTCTGTTATATTTCTTTTAATTTGTGGCAGCCACCGGTTTTAGGAAATACCATCAAAAGTGACAGCCGTTTTAGAACATGTTTTCTTTGCAGTTTCTTTCTGGAGTTTCGGAGACCGGACAAGAGAATCCAAAGGGAGCTTCAACACTTGGACAGAAAATGCCCTTCTTTCTTATCAGAATCTTTTAGGGTTGTGCTGCTATAAAGCAAAAATGTCCCACCCTCATGCGGAACGACGTATTCATGCATTCCTTTAATTTGTTAATAAAAAAAATAACTTCTTTCCCTTTTGAATTTTGGGAAAATTATAAATAAATAAATAAATAAATAAAAAACGAAAACAAAAACAAACAAACTACCAAACCACACATTTTATACAATTTACTCTCAACCTAATTATTTCTCTCACTTTTTTTCTCAAAACAAACTTTATATACAAATACCCCAAACTGAAAAAGTTCAATTTTTAGATGAAAATGCCCTTCTTGTACACAAATCATTTTGGCCAAATTTGACGTGGACTTTTGCACCCAGTAGCACATTGCTGGAGTGCACCATCACATTACCAGAGCGTATAAGTGCTGGACCGCCATAAGCCAATTACCATACCGAAACTGAGTATTGTCGGACTGCCCTTTACATAGTGCCGAAGCTCTAGAATCCACTAACGTCTACGCCAGATAGCCCTTTACAACTGTCGGACCGCCCTTTGCAACTAATGGAACACGCCACTTTACATAGTGCCATAGCCCTACTACCGGACCGTATTTTATACAGTGCTTGTGCCCCACTGCCGGATCGCACTTTACACAGTGTCGGAGCCCTATTGCCAAACCGTACTTACACAATGTACGAGCCCGTATTTACGTGGAATTGAGGACGTTGAACTTTTGACCCAGTA